CTTTCTGAAAGCAAACTCCAGGGTTTCCCATCTTTTTGGATTCCTTTGTCCTACTTTCCAGGCAGATGAGTTGCCTTTCATTTGATCTTTCAGAGAAGTCTGTGACAGTGAACATGTAGTTTGGGGTTCAAGGTGGTGCTAGGGTTTAACATGGGGTTTAAGGTGGTACTAGGGTTTAACATGGGGTTTAAGGTGGTACTAGGGTTTAACATGGGGTTTAAGGTGGTACTAGGGTTTAACATGGGGTTCAAGGTGGTACTAGGGTTTAACATGGGGTTTAAGGTGGTACTAGGGTTTAACATGGGGTTTAAGGTGGTGCTAGGGTTTAACATGGGGTTTAAGGTGGTACTAGGGTTTAACATGGGGTTTAAGGTGGTACTAGGGTTTAACATGGGGTTCAAGGTGGTACTAGGGTTTAACATGGGGTTTAAGGTGGTGCTAGGGTTTAACATGGGGTTTAAGGTGGTACTAGGGTTTAACATGGGGTTTAAGGTGGTGCTAGGGTTTAACATGGGGTTTAAGGTGGTGCTAGGGTTTAACATGGGGTTCAAGGTGGTGCTAGGGTTTAACATGGGGTTTAAGGTGGTACTAGGGTTTAACATGGGGTTTAAGGTGGTGCTAGGGTTTAACATGGGGTTCAAGGTGGTGCTAGGGTTTAACATGGGGTTTAAGGTGGTACTAGGGTTTAACATGGGGTTTAAGGTGGTACTAGGGTTTAACATGGGGTTTAAGGTGGTACTAGGGTTTAACATGGGGTTTAAGGTGGTGCTAGGGTTTAACATGGGGTTCAAGGTGGTACTAGGGTTTAACATGGGATTTAAGGTGGTACTAGGGTTTAACATGGGATTTAAGGTGGTACTAGGGTTCAACTTGGGGTTAATGTGGTACTATGGTTTAACATGGGGTTTAAGGTTGTTTAAAGGCTTAAAGTGGTTTTAACATTGTATTTAGCTTAAAGGGGTATTATATTATATGCAGGCCCGCCATTAGGAATTATGGACAGGGGGACAACATTTTTCAAACTGGGCCCCTCATTGGCACCCACCCCAGCACCACCTCCAGGTTCTTATGATGTAAAATAATGAGACAAAGATAAATCATGTCAGAACTTTTTCCACCTTTAATGTGACCTATAATGTCAACAATTCAATTGAAAAACAAATTGAAATACTTGAGGCAGATGATACTTGAAATAAAAATATATAAAATTATTTGTAAAATTAAACCCCTCAAATAACCTGGTTGCATAAGTGCGCACACCCTTAGACTAATACTTTGTTGAAGCACCTTTTGATTTTATTAAAGCAGTCAGTCTTTTTGGTTAGGAGACTATTAGCATGGCACATCTTTGCAAAAGCGTTCCAAATCTGTCAGATTGCGAGGACATCGCCTGTGCACCGCCCTCTTCAGATCACCCCACAGATGTTCAATTGGATTCAGGTCTGGGCTCTGGCTGGGCCATTCCAAAACATTAATCTTCTTCTGGTGAAGCCATGCTTTTGTGGATTTGGATGCTTGGATGTTTTTCTTTGTAAGAAAAGGCTTCTGTCTTGCCCCCCTACCCCATAGCCCATTCAGATGAAGAATACGGGAGATAGTTGTCACATGTACCACACAGCCAGTACTTGCTAGAAATTGCTGCAGTTCCTTTAATGTTGCTGTAGGCCTCTTGGAAGCCTCCCTGACCACTTTTCTTTTCGTCTTTTCATTAATTTTGGAGGGACGTCCAGTTCTTGGTAAAGTCACAGTTGTGCCATATTTTCTCCACTTGATGATGACTGTCTTCACTGTGTTCCATGGTATATCTAATGCTTTTGTACCCGTCTCCTGACTTATGTCTTTCAACAATGAGATCTCTCTGATGCTTTGGAAGTTCTCTGCAGACCGTGGCTTTTGCTCGGAGATGCATCTGAGAAAATATCAGGAAAATCCTACTAGAACAGCTGAGCTGAGGAGAGATGAAAAGAAACAGTACGACTTTGTTTCCTGTAAATAAAAATGTTTGCCTAATTAATACATAAGGGTTCATTCATTTTAGCACAGTCTGCTACAGCTGGTGTTTAATAGGCCATATTATACCGTCTCATCTTTATCAAGATAATGTTCATCATCTTATCAGGACACATGTGGACACTCAGGGTCTGAAATTAACCTTTGTCTCTATTTTCTTTGGCTGCCACTCAGAGCTCCAAGCAGGAGAGCCTGGAATTGACAAAGACCTGTGTAGGCTGTAGGCAGATCAGCCAGGTCAGTCAGTCCACTACCTGATGTTGGAGGGGCCCCTGTCTCCTGCAGACAGGAACTGAATTGTGGCATTTTGGATAGAAACAGATGTCTCTGGAAGAAATGTTTAAAAAGTTTTTGATGTGCGTTATTTTATGTTGCTGAGTGCCAAGACTTGGTAAAAAAAACTTCATCATCCTTATTATTCTGTGTGATTATAATAAAGTTCTGTGAGATTCAGTTTTAATTTTTTTATTCTTTTGTCTTCATGGTCATGTGCCTATTAATGCATTCATGTGACATCACTGCAGCACACATACTCTGACAGCCCAGGCGGGTTGAGGTTATACAAGGAGACCAGCTGAACCTAAAACAGGACCAAAGGCTTGGACCCCATGGAGATCTTCTGCTGCTTCACATTTTAATGCGCACAAACATGTTGAACCTGCTATCCGCTCTCTCAGCAATGGGGATCTTGAGCAAAGCACTCCTGTGGCTCTAATCCTACCTCTCAGGGCATTCCTACAATGATTTGTGGCAAGGGCAATTTCCTCCTCCCACTGCCTCTCCACAGGGGGGCCCCAAGGCTAAGTGCTAGGGCCCCTTCTCTTCTCAATTTACACCACCTGACTGGAGCCGATCATTCGCTCTCACAACTTCTCTTACCTCTGCTACGCAGACGATACGCAACTCTACCTATCCTTCCTGCCAGGAGATCCCACCGTCTCGGCGTGGATCACGGACTGTCTATCAGACATCTGTATGGATGAAGTCTCACCACCTTCAATTAAACCTCTCTAAGACTGAACTCTTGGTCATTCCTGCCAAGCAATCTATCCACCATAACATCAAACTACCAAACTGACTCCTCAACCATGACTCCAACCATTCATGATTGATGAACAGCTGTCCTTTTCAGACCATGGTAAATGTAAATGCTCCGTATTTGTCTAGTCTTTTTGACCACTCAAAGCGCTTTTAAACTACATCTGCATTCACCATTCACTCACATTCACACAATGAGCCTAATTGCTCAAAAAGAAACATTTCAGAGTTCAGTATATTGCCAGAGGAAACTTTGATATACAGCCTGGAGGTGCTGGGGACTGAACCAATGACCTTCCAATTAACAGGCAACCCGCTCTACCTCCTGAGCCGCCCCATTGCACGGCTGTCTCTCGGTTGTGCCACTTTTCTCTGTACAACATAAGGAAAATCAGGCCCTACCTCACTCAGTACGCCACCCAGCTTCTGGGACAGGCCATGGTTATCTCTCGCCTCGACTATTGCAATGCCCTCCTAGCAGGTCTCCCAGATTGTGCAGTGAAACCCCTCAAATGGTTCAGAACGCAACAGCGGCCGCTACACTCCTCCAATGAATGCCGCCTGGCTCTGCCGTCCCTTCACACAAAGCAATCTCAGTCCCCACTGTTCTCATATGTGACACCACGATGGTGGAACGAGCTACCACACGCCATCAGAGCAGGGGCGTCCCTCTCTAACTTCAAGAAAATGCTGAACACTTCCTCTTATAACACCTCTAACTCCTAACCTCTAACATGCACTTCCTGTGCTCTCTTCTTTTCAATTATATTGTTTTGATTGCACTTTTTGTTAACTCTTACTTCCTTCCCTAGGTATCTACCCCATTGATGTGATATGTACTGTGAGCTCTTACTAGTATGTATTGCTGCTCTTACTAGCATGTTTTGTCAGTTGTAGATCTGTAGTTGATGCTCTGTTGATGCTTGTATGTTGTTCCTCGCTTCCTCGCTGTTGTTCCTCGCTTTGGATAAAAGCATTGGCCAAATGAGTAAATGTTAATGTAAATGACCCCCTCAGGTTCACGGCCATGGAGGTGGTCAACTAGCCCAAAAGACTGGCAGCAGTTTGGAGTGTTTTCCTTTACAGCTAAGCATCAGCTAAATGAATAAATGTAAATGTAATGTGCATTTGTTATGTTACTAGCGAGTCACCAACTTTACTAACAGCCAGACATCAAGCAAGTGGGACAACTTGTCAGGTCTCTCGCTCATCACTCTCTCTCCTCTTCCTCACTTCCTCCTCCGACGTCCTCTTCGGTCTTTTCAGCCTCTGCCATGAGATCCACACTGAGAACACTGAGCTAGCTCACCTTGGACAGTTTATTGTCTTTGCTTCTTCTGGTAGCTTGCTGAGGAGTCGTGTTGGTGCCGTAAAGCGTGACAAAGTTCCTGCACTGGACTCCAGAGTTACATAGAGCCAATAACCAGCACCGGCCCGGTGTGGTACTGACAGAGACTCCATTCAGCCTGTTACAGGTCAGTGTAGCATCAAAATGGTTTAAAGCTGTTGTTTTAAGATCAGTTAGTACATAATGCTGCTTTAAATGATGTTTGTGTGAAAGTTGACAGGGATCTTTGTTCAGTTCATGTCTGTGTGTTGCTGCTGCTCACTGAGCGCTGATATTTAGGGCTAATGTGGCTGTTTGACTGAAGTCAGATTCTCTCTGACTCACTGACCTCAGAACAACAAAACCTTCAGCATCAGAGAGACAACACAAGAAATGTATGAACCACCTGCTGAGCCTAAAGTAGAGCAGGACAGGTTGGCAGAAATGTTCCATCTCACTGGAGATGGTTACATGTCACAGCTTGCAAAACACCAGGTGAACTGGTTTCTCTGGGACTGACTTTGTGTCTTCAGACCAGTCAGTCTGCATGTTCTGATGGTGAGACAGCAGCTGCAGTCACATGACTGATTATGGGAGGAGTCACCATAATCTCTCTCTCTACAGACGGACTTGGATGAGACGCCATCAGGCTGCTGATCTGACGGACATCCACAGGAACAAGCTGAGTGAGTCTGATGTTTTTACCTTTGAAAATAGTGATGGGGATCAGGGCTCTTTGGAGGAGCCGGATCTGATGGATCTGTTCCTTTCTGAGAAACACTGAGAACCAGAATCATTTAAAAGACAGCAATCAATCAAACAGTGAAGTTCAAATGTGTTCAAGTGTGTACTTGTACTTCTTGAAGTAGTTTTTTAAATCTGTAATTTTACTTTTACTTCGGTGTGTTTTGTTTAAAGTATTGTACTTCACTACATTTACTGAGGAAAAACTGGCGACCACTTTGGCCTCAAGTGCAGAGAACATCTTTATGATGCTGTCTTAAGTTACTGCTAATGCAGACTGAACATTTCCTGCTGCAGCATCTTCACATTAAAAGCCTTTAACTGGCGAAACACAAGCTGACTTTTATTTTGAAGCAGTCACGGGAAATGCGCTCTGTTTTGTAAGTGAGATCAGAGCTGAAGGCTCTCATTCTTCAAAAATGCAGCTGCACAAGACAAACGTCTTTTTCAACACTTTTCTGACAGCAGAAACAACAGGCTGCACACCTCCACCTGCTCAGCCAGGTGACAGGCTGCACACCTCCACCTGCTCAGCCAGGTGACAGGCTGCACACCTCAACCTGCTCAGCCAGGTGACAGGCTGCACACCTCCACCTGCTCAGCCAGGTGACAGGCTGCACACCTCAACCTGCTCAGCCAGGTGACAGGCTGCACACCTCAACCTGCTCAGCCAGGTGACAGGCTGCACACCTCCACCTGCTCAGCCAGGTGACAGGCTGCACACCTCCACCTGCTCAGCCAGGTGACAGGCTGCACACCTCCACCTGCTCAGCCAGGTGACAGGCTGCACACCTCCACCTGCTCAGCCAGGTGACAGGCTGCACACCTCCACCTGCTCAGCCAGGTAACAGGCTGCACACCTCCACCTGCTCAGCCAGGTGACAGGCTGCACACCTCAACCTGCTCAGCACGCCTCCACCTGCTCAGCCAGGTGACAGGCTGCACACCTCCACCTGCTCAGCACGCCTCCACCTGCTCAGCCAGGTGACAGGCTGCACACCTCAACCTGCTCAGCACGCCTCCACCTGCTCAGCCAGGTGACAGGCTGCACACCTCCACCTGCTCAGCCAGGTGACAGGCTACACACCTCAACCTGCTCAGCCAGGTGACAGGCTGCACACCTCAACCTGCTCAGCACGCCTCCACCTGCTCAGCCAGGTGACAGGCTGCACACCTCAACCTGCTCAGCACGCCTCCACCTGCTCAGCCAGGTGACAGGCTGCACACCTCAACCTGCTCAGCCAGGTGACAGGCTGCACACCTCCACCTGCTCAGCCAGGTGACAGGCTGCACACCTCCACCTGCTCAGCCAGGTGACAGGCTGCACACCTCCACAGGCTGCACACCTCCACCTGCTCAGCCAGGTAACAGGCTGCACACCTCCACCTGCTCAGCACGCCTCCACCTGCTCAGCCAGGTAACAGGCTGCACACCTCCACCTGCTCAGCCAGGTAACAGGCTGCACACCTCCACCTGCTCAGCCAGGTAACAGGCTGCACACCTCCACAGGCTGCACACCTCCACCTGCTCAGCCAGGTAACAGGCTGCACACCTCCACCTGCTCAGCCAGGTGATAGGCTGCACACCTCCACCTGCTCAGCCAGGTGACAGCATAAAGTCAGATCATGTATGCTGACAGAATTATGGAAAACACCAATAGCTGCCCGACAACAGTTTGTTTAGCTGCCCCAGACTTCTGAGCCCTGTGGTATTAAAAGGCATCGGCTGTTACCATAGTAACTACAGGTGTCTCATTAACGGTGCAGCTGCATAATAGTGTCTAAACAGGTTAATTAATGCACCATGTCAGAGTTAGAGATTTGAACCAACACTCCTCAGTGAACTTCTCGGCTGCAGTCTGAGAGCATTTTCTAGTTAAGCAGCGTCTGTAGATTTATCATGATGGATTCAGGCCTGCCATGTTTTTAGGAGTCTGTTCACACTGATAGAAGCTAATAAAAACACTAATTTTGTGAAAAAGTCCGGCCCCCACAGTGTCTGCTTAGAAACATTCTCTAAACTTCTTATTTTAACATAAATGTCGGCTGTGGAATGAAGGAAGACAAACTGAGGAAACTTCATTTTGTGAAGTCAGACTCTCTAGGAGGCAGGGTTTGTGTTGTATTTCCTGGGTTTGACTTGTCAGGTTTGGTTTCTGACCAAATACTGCAACATTCCCATCAGCCTCAGCGGTGTTGCTCAGTATTGTTTGGTGTCGTGAGCTGTGCTGCACGGCTAGTAAGACTACAGCCAGCCTTTATTTCAAGAACTAAAAGCTGGTGGAACAAACAACCTGTTCTCACTAGAAAGTCTTCACAAACTAACTCCTGGTGTCAGTTTTTAACAGAACAAAACAAAAGCTAACAGAACAAAACTTCATCTTTATGTGTGGCTTTTCTGAAGGAAGAAATCTGACCATATTTCCATGTTTCCATTCAGTGGGGCTTTAACTCAAAGATGGCTCTCTGTAACTGAAACAAGTGTAAGCAGTGTGCCGCTTTAAAATGACACACAGACTCACAGAGTCCAGAGAGCAGCAGCAGGAGCCTGTGTCAGCCAATCAGAACTCCTGCTGCTGCTCTGAAACATTTGTGTTCCAGTTTTCCTTCAGGTCTAAAATACTGCCTGACTTTAGCAGGGAGCCACGATGACGGCAAAGGACCTTTTGAAGACTCTGGAGAATTTAAGAGAGGAAGAATTCAAAAAGTTCAAATGGTATCTGCGGCAACCTGACGTCCTGGAAACCTACCAAACCATGAAAGTGTTCGAGCTGGAGACTGCAGACAGATTGAAAACAGTGGATCTGATGGTGAACGCATTTAATCTTCATGGAGCTCTGAAGCAGACCAAGAAGATCTTAGCGGAGATACCCAGGAAAGACCTGGTGCAGAGTCTGCCAGAAACCAGCTCAGGACCAGAAGGTCAGTTTCTGTATTATATATACTTGTAAAGGAACAGGGTCTCTCAGCACAGAAGCTCACTGCGTTCACCAACAAATAAAGTTTGAGGCCTGATCTTGTTATTAGGAGAAAAGGTTGAGTTTAAGATCATTCCCATGTGATGGCTTTCATCCCCTTTTTTAGAACAACAGTCCAAAAAAAATCTACCACATGAAAATGAAAAACTAATTACCAAGTACAAGTGAAATTGAAAATATATATAACACATGATCTGTGTATCCAGCTTCATTGACAGTGGATGTCATGAAGCTGGAAAAGAGGACCGTCCGCTCAGTTTGAATCTAAAGCTGCTGTAATTTCTGGTATGTATGGAAGGCAAAGTGTAGTTTAGGGATCGACCGATATGTTTTTTTCCAGCCGATCGCGATCCCGATTATTAGTAACCAATTAGACCGATGACCAATATGTGGAACCGAAATTTTAATCTTGGTGTCCAAATTTAGAATAATACAAACTCCAACACAAAACTTTGTTAAAAATAACAAGATTAAAGTTCATTGTCATGTTTAATCTTTATAAATAGTAAATTAAATGAATTAGAGATCCATCCCAGAGATGCAGTTGTTAACCATGAGTGATAAATTATCAAACTGCCATTTATATTGTATTTGTTTTATATAGTTAGGATTTTATTGATGCATTTATTGAGACTATTTATTGGTTCTGTTCTTTATCTATACTCCTATTGTTTTAATTACTTTTCTTATTAAAAAAATAAATAAATTCAGGACAGTAATCAAATTTAATATTTTATTGTGACTGAGCTGCAACAACAGTAAAGTTTACAGCAGCAAACACACTTTATAAAATCAGTATCTCACTGGAAACAAATGAAACATGTTAAATAAACTATTCCCGACATCAAAATACTAAAGTTTAAAGAAAACAGCAGCCCGTGGTCCTCTCCCTGTCCTCCTGCCCCCTCTGCTGCTGCTGCTACAGAGGAGCTGGTTTCTGTCAACAAGCACCTGAGTTTACAATGTGCTAAATTTTAAGGTCCGTAGCATCTCAGCTAAACAGGCCACAGACAGAGAGGTTTGGTTTTAGCATTGTTAATGACATACTAGTTATTAGCCGAGCACATGTGCTTGTGTAAAACAAACAGAGCAGCGGTGGATGAGACAGAGCAGATTAAAATATCACTCTGTGCACATTCCCGCAAGTTTTACTTGTGCTACTGGTTTTGCTGCACGGCCGTAGTTCTAGTCAACTTGTGTACTCTACTCTGATCTCTGCTTATTTAGTTCCATGTGCAGAGGAGGGGAGGGGCTGCAGCGTGGTGGCTGGCTCGTTCTATTGGCTGCTTCCGCACAATAGTCAGTGTTGATAGGCTATTATTCGTGACTTGTAACCAATCAGCTAGTAATGTGGGCGGGACATTGTACTCACCACTCTGTGGGCTCAAGCAGAGAGGTGGCTGCAGCAGAGCCAAAGGAGCATTTTTTAATTAATCAATAATATCGGCTATCTGTTTTTAAAATGGCCGATGCGGATTATTGGAGAAATGCTGAATATCTGCGCGATAATCGGCCTGGTCGACCCCTAGTGTAGTTTTTAATATATTATATTTTGCTTTCTCTGAGAGACGTTGTGACTCCAGCAGAGCTTTAAGAGATTTAGTTGAAGCAGCATCAGTTTATCTGGAGGTCTTAAAGTCTGAACATTATAGAGCGATTCATCCTGAGCCATCAGGGGTGGACGTGGTTCAGGAGGAAGATCGGGTTGCCCATTAATCAGAAGATCGGCAGTTCCACCCTTATCTCCTCCAGGCTGCATGTCCAAGTGTCCTTGGACACGATACTGAACCCTGAATTGCCACCAGTGTGTAAATGGTGAATGTGATGTGCTTTGAGTGGTCGCAGAGACTAGAAAGGTGTTAAACAGATCCATTTAGCTGCAGGAACCTCATTAACAATCTCATTTCTCATATGTAGGTAGGTGGTTGGACCCTTCATAAATTAACACTTATTTAGTTATATGTCAATGATTTAGATTTTTCTGTTCCCTGACAGCCAATCACATTGAGAGGCTGTTAGTCTCAAAGTAGAGGCAGACTCACAGCTTTCAGGGATTTGTTTTTCACACTGAACTGACCCGGGGTGCATCTAGGATTGGCTTCCTGTGTTTATGAGAGTGCACTGAGGGTTGAGTAAATTGTGGACAAGGTTAAAGGTTCAGGCTTGTTCTTATACATTAAGAGCTTTTGACTAACTGTGAGGAGTGTTTGCACGTCAGGAAATTTAATCGTAACATTTGTGCTGTTGCTGTTCAGGGATCTGGACTTGTTTTGACCTTTGAAATACTCTGTTTCAGAGGAGAATCCTCTGAAGACGCTGCCAGAGGCCAAAGCCTCCAACACAGCTCTGTAAGTAGGATTGATTCATCAATAAATAACTTTCGGTTGTATTGTTATTCCTGATTCAGTCATTATTAACCTATTGGTCACGCAACCACCCTTTTCCAGGAAAAATGCCTAAAATAACCCAAAATAAATCGGTAATATCTCCTCAACTATTTGGTCTAGATGCATAATTCTGGTCTCCTTTGAAAGGTCAGAAGCTAAGAAATATAAATCCATTGTACATTAACATATTTATTTTACCATTAAAGACTAAACTGAGATGAAACACAGAACAAATCTGATATTTTCTTCGTTGCCCTGTAAAAAAGCTATATTTTAATGCAATAAACCATCAAAACCATCATAAGATAGCCAACGAAGGTAAAAATCAGAACTGAAGAAGTCTTTTGGATGAGGGACGAAACATCTTCCAGTATCTTCAACCAAGTCCAGTTGCCCTGGACTTTAACCTTCATTGGATAACTATGACCTGGATGACTGAGAATCTTCATAAGATAGATTATAATGCACCTGAATATCTTCTAATAAACCTGGAATACAACTGTAACTGTAAATTTGATGAAAAGAAACTGTTATACAACACTTATTACACAATCTTTCAAAAATATATATGGCGAATGGAAATTTTTGTTTAAATGTTGACTTTTACTGGGAGATATCTTTAATACCCTATTTCTGTCCATATTACCAAGTTCCAAAGAACAAAACATTGAAATATTGATAAAAACATTTAATATTCATCAACATTCCTGTCACCAAAAGCACACCCATGCTTTACAGGCCTGTAAACAGGCTTGTGCAACATGATGATTGCGATATTGAGTCAATATATTGTGCACCCATCATATATTTTTGTATATATATATTTTCTTGGGTAGGATCCACCCACATTTGTTTTGCTTTCAAAGCTCATGGAGTTGGGGGGTCTGGGGTTGTTTCACTCAAAGGAGTCAATACAGGAAATAGTAATGATTAGTTCACCGCTCATAACTGTGGGTCTTTGGATTTGAGTCTTAAACTATGTATAAAAACCCTTTATATTAATATTTTAGAGGAATGTAATGTCCATGTTTGATGCTGCTCTGACCCCCCTCCTCCTTTCAGGGTGGAGCCTGCTGGAGTCCCATGGTCTAGACAAGGTCTGAGGAAGTGTAAGTGTGTTTTTCATTTGATTTATGAAAACAAAGCAGCACACATTCAACCATCTTCAGACTGTGACATCACTCATTCAAAGTGCCAATCAATGAACAGATGATAGATCAATAACTGCAGCTGGATTGTGTCTCGTTCTCTCATCAGATTCCTGTGAACTCACAATCGACACAAACACAGTAAACAGAAAGATCAAACTGTCTGACAACAACAGGAAGGCGACACTTGTGGAGGAGGATCAGACATATTTTTATCATCCAGACAGGTTTGACTGGAGGCCTCAGCTGCTTTGTACAGATGGTCTGACTGGTCGTTGTTACTGGGAGGTCGAGTGGAGAGGAGATGTTTGTATATCAGTGAGTTACAGAGGAATTGGCAGGAAAGGAGAGGGTGAAGACAGTGTGTTTGGACAGAATGATCAGTCCTGGAGTCTGGTCTGCTCTTTTGGTGGTTGCTATTTCTTTCACAATGGCACAAAAAAACACATCTCCTCACCCTCCTCCTCCTCCTCCTCCTCCTCCTCTGGTAGAGTAGCAGTGTATGTGGACTGGCCTGCTGGCTCTCTGTCCTTCTACAGAGTTTCGTCTGACACACTGATCCACCTCCACACCTTCAACACCACATTCATTGAACCTCTTTATCCTGGCTTTGCGCTCGGGACGCCTGGTTGCTCAGTGTGTCTGAGTTCTGTGTAGGAGGGAGAATCTTCTCCTGGTAGAGAACAGATCAGTTGAGTCTGTACAGGATCACAGAAATCTTTCAGCTTCTTGTAATAAATCCATCAATGAACTTTGTACAAAGTGATTCAAAGTGATTGAACAGATTCCTCATTTCCATGTAAACTTCTTCCACTTCCAGTCCTTTAAAGATGGAAGCTCTGATCATTAAATGGTGGAAATGCCGTTGACTTGGACCTTCTGTCATGTGTTGCTTTGAATTCTGGCTCTTGTTCCAATAAAAGCAGAATGTTACTGTGAGTGTGTTTGTTGTCTTTCTCAGCTCAGGACTACTGACACCATTCAGCTGGAAGAAGTTTGTAAGGTGGTATTAGAATGTTGAAGACGTTTATATGGTTTTTAAGGTGGTATGACATTTTTGTAGGCACTTCTGTCCTGTGACTTCTTAAGGTGGTTCAAAGTTTAAAACTGGTTTTAACATTTGGTTAAGAGATTTGAAGGTGGTATTAGTATATTTGATATGGTTTTTAAGGTGGTATTAGTATGTTTGATATGTTTTAATAGATATACTAGATATGATCAATCTATCTTCAGGCTATGTACCACAGTACTTTAAAGTAGCTGTAATTAAACCTCTTCTGAAAAAGGTCTGGGTCCCGGCCTCCCTGGTTCCACACCCTGCCCGTCTGACTGCCTCGAGTGCAGCGAGTTTGCAGAAACAGGGAAAAATCCTGGTCAGCTAATAAAATCTCCACTACAGTAGAAGGTAAACTCAGCGGAGGTTTCTGAAACAGAAGAAATCCTGAAGACGGGACGTCAGCGTCCTCAGTGGGAGCTACGCTCCTGTTTCCTTTGGATGTTTGAAGCTCAGAGTTTCCAAATGTGCTCTGAAAGACACACAGAGATGTGAACATGAGGACTGACTGATGTGGACTCCTAGAGGCAGAAGCAGAGGAGTTACTGCCCTCCGGTGGTCAATCTGAGTCACTACAACACTACGTTACACTGAGGTGTGGCCAACATTCTCCAGAAGGGTCCGGCTGCGGACTGTAGCTCAGGGGGCGGGGCGTGAGCGAGGGGCGTGAGCGCGGGTAGGTCAAAGTTCATCAGACTAGAAGGCGGGATTTGAAGAAGAAGATGATAACATAAAGTAATGATGCAGCAGAAGCAGCAGGTAGGTAATCACAGCTCAGTGCAGCAAAAGATGAACTTATGATGTTGTTGGACAAATAAGTACAATTATTTTTAATAAAAGTTATTCATTTCAGCTGTTTAATGTTGTTAATCTAAATAATCATATAATTTTATATGTTCCTGTTAAGATCCTTTCCCACATTTTTATTGTTCAGTGTTTTTATCTTATTTTCTAGTATTTTATTCACTTTGATTCAGTGCTGCAGGCTCGCTGCGAATGACACTCGACTCTGTAGCCCCTCTAAAAAAGAAAATACTAAAACAAAGACGGTTAGCTCCATGGTATAATACTGAAACTCGCAAATTAAAGCAAATATCACGGAAACTTGAGAGGAATTGGCGTTCTACCAAAGTGGAAAATTCTCGTTTAATTTGGCAAGATAGTCTTAAAACTTATAGGAATGCCAGAGCAGTGTACTACTCGTCATTAATAGAGGAAAATAGGAACAACCCCAGGTTTCTTTTCAGCACTGTAGTCAGGCTGACAGAGAGTCACAGCTCTATTGAGCCCAGTATTCCCATAGCTCTCAGTAGTTACGATTTCATGAGCTTCTTTAATGATAAAATTCTAGCTATTAGAGACAAAATTCACCAAGACCTGCCCTCAACTGGCACCGACTTATCTCTTAACTCAGGAACCTTAGAAACAGCTGTAGAACCAGATACATGTTTAGACTGTTTTGCTTCCCTCAATCTTTACCAACTAACTTCAATAATTTCTTCATCTAAACCATCAACCTGCCTCTTAGACCCCATCCCGACTAGGCTGCTTAAAGATGTTCTACCCTTAGTCAGCACTTCTATACTAGATATGATCAATCTATCTTTATCAACAGGCTATGTACCACAGTACTTTAAAGTAGCTGTAATTAAACCTCTTCTGAAAAAGCCCAAACTTGATCCAGATGTTTTAGCCAACTATAGACCTATATCTAACCTTCCATTTCTCTCTAAGGTTCTGGAGAAAGCAGTTGCTAAACAGCTGTGTGACTTTCTACAGAGCAATAGTTTATTTGAGGATTTTCAGTCAGGATTTAGAGCTCATCATAGCACAGAGACAGCACTGGTGAAAATTACTAATGACCTCCTTATTGCATCAGACAAAGGACTTGTCTCTGTACTGGTTTTATTAGATCTTAGTGCTGCATTTGATACCATTGACCATCAGATCCTATTGCAGAGACTGGAATATTTCATTGGCATTAAAGGAACCGCTCTAAGCTGGTTTAAGTCCTATTTATCAGATCGATTTCAGTTTGTACATGTTAACGATGAGTCCTCCATGCACGCCAAAGTTACTCATGGAGTTCCTCAAGGATCTGTCCTTGGACCAATCCTCTTCACTTTATATATGCTTCCTTTAGGCAATATTATCAGGAAATATTCCATAAGCTTTCATTGTTATGCAGATGATACTCAGTTATATCTATCGATCAAGCCAGATGAAACTCATCAGTTAACTAAACTTCAAATGTGCCTTCAGGATGTTAAAACCTGGATGACCTGTAATTTTCTCATGTTAAACTCAGATAAAACTGAAGTTATTGTTCTGGGGCCTAAGCACCTCCGTGACGCATTATCTAAAGATATAGTTTCCCTGGATGGCATCGCCTTGGCCTCCAGCACCACTGTGAGGAATCTTGGAGCTATCTTTGATCAGGACATGTCGTTTAAGTCTCACATTAAGCAAATTTCAAGGACCGCCTTTTTTCACCTACGTAATATTGCGAAAATCAGGAACATCCTGTCTAAAAATGATGCAGAAAAACTAGTCCATGCATTTGTTACTTCTAGGCTGGATTACTGCAATTCCTTATTATCAGGCTGCTCGAAAAAGTCCATTAAGACTCTTCAGCTGATCCAGAATGCTGCAGCACGTGTTCTGACAGGAACCAGGAAAAGAGATCACATTTCTCCTGTTTTAGCTTCTTTGCATTGGCTTCCAGTAAAATCCAGAATAGAATTTAAAATCATTCTTCT